GGAATGCACGTGGAAGAAAGGCGCGAGAGTGAAACCAGGAGACTGTGGCACTTCCAGGAAGGACAGAGCGGCAAGCAATTCCTTCGCTGGCTGCTCTGCCACTGATGGTACAAACGGAGTGTGGAGCATCTTGTCGCGCCTTCTTCATGTCCACAACGGAACACTGCCACGCGACGTTACACAGGTCTGCCATCGCCAGTGCCACCGATGAAACCCACAATATTGAACGGCGCAGTATAAATATCCTTCCGATATTAGGAAGCCACACAATGGAACTGCTTTTTGGGTTGAGTTTTGTTGTCCTTACCCTGGCACCTCCGATTAGCACGTTTGGCTACGTACGGTGTGAAAGAAGTTCAACATAGATATACACGTGCCTCACATAGCATTGATCTAATTGTGCATTATGTACAGATGTCTGACTGCTCAAAGTCCAACATACAAATAACAGTCCACCATTTTCAGGCGCACATCAACGCTAACACACAACATGCACAACAAACATCATGTGCCCTCTGTGAGAGTTTAAAAGGTTTTTTTTTTTAAGACCGCGATGTCAAACTGTTGACAACGTTTGCACATTTACAAAACACTCTCGCGTTAAAAGCAGCTTTAACAACTGCTTCACATGTAAGACAAGGGTTTCAAAAATGAAATGTAGAATGGCTCCATGTAAGTGGCTATAACATATATGTAATGCACACTAATGATTATTTAATTACTTTTCTGAGTGCATATACAAATACTCCTGTCAAGTGGTTGACTTGCATCAATATGCTAAAAGCCTGTCTCAAGACCAGCAAATCCTGCATAACACTTTACTCGTATGTTTATGAGCTCATATTGTGCCATACGCTCTTTTAAAGAAGACAATCAGAATGGTAAAGTGTGATGTAATTACAACTTTGCAGAGAGCCAACAGCAAAGGCATATGACAAAGCCCGCATTACCCTTCATATTGTGATTTAGACCATTTATAACACTGTGTAACAACATTTTTTTGTTCCTGGGTATTAAGTGTTATTTCCTAATTGCTTATGCCTCAAAAGTACAGAAAATGGCTATTATTCCCCATAAACTTTGCTTTTGTGACCAAGAAATATATAATGCATGAAAAATGTTGCGAGAATCTCTTACACATTGGTCATGGGTGAAATAAATGCCATTTTGTAGGATGGTACAAAGGGGAAAACAGAGCCATGTGGTTCGCTATCCCAAGAATTTGGCAGGAACCCACTGACCACTCAAGCAACTGCTACTTCTGCATGGTGGACCCTTCCAAACGTCGGAATGGCAAGAATGCACCTGCTATCACGTATCCGGACCTTCCTTCATCAATCTCCCTGGTGCCACACTGCCATGAGCTCCCCGTACCCACTCTTCCGGAGAGAGAGCAGCCGTCTTTAGAAGAGAGCAGCAAGTCAGAGAGAGAGGAAGACGTTGTAGATCCAGGTGACAATTTCAGAGGTAGAGCTGAGGAGAGAAACCCATACTACCCCAACCAAAAAGACCTCAACAACTTGATCAGAGATCTTCGTCTCACCAAGTCCAAAGCCGAACTTTTGACGTTTATGCTCAAGTAGTGGAACTTGTTGGATGAAAGTGTGCAAGTCGCAGATCAGAGGAAGCGTCACCAACCTTTTTTCAGCTTCTTCACCCGTCACATTGTGGCTTCTGCCACAATGTGACCAGTCTGTTCGAGGCAATCGGAATCGCCTGTAACCAGAATGAGTGGCGCCTCTTCATTGACAGTTCATCCAGGAGCCTCAAAGCCAGGCTGCTCCATAATGGTAACAAGTATCCGTCTCTTCCCCTGGCTCACTCGGGGCACCTCAAAGAGGATTACAACAGCATCAAGACCTTGCTGGATGCCTTGAAGTATGATGAGTACGGCTGGCAGGTCATCGGAGAATTCAAAATGGTGGTATTCCTGATGGGTCTCCAAAGCGGTTTTACCAAGTTTCCCTGCGATCTTTGCCTTTGGGACAGCAGGGACACCAAGGCGCACTACCACAGGCGGGACTGGCCACAGTGGACCGAGTTCTCTGTGTGGAAAAACAACGTCAAGTGGGAGCAACTGGTGGACCCCCGGAAGGTGCTGATGCCACCACTGCACATCAAATTGGGCCTTATGAAACAATTTGTCAAAGCTGTAGATAAGGAGTCGGCAGCTTTCAAGTACCTTCAAGACTTCTTCCCTAAGCTGTCTGAGTCAGAGGTCACAGCCGGTGTCTTCGTCGTACCACAGATAAAGAAGATCCTGGAGTGTAATGAATTCCCCAAGAAGCTCACTCGTAAGGAGAAAGCGGCTTGGGACAGCTTTGTCGCAGTGGTTCGTGGCTTCCTGGGCAATCTCAAGGTCGAAAACTACGTGGAGCTGGTTGAGACTCTGGTGAAGAACTATGGCACAATGGGCTGTAGGATGTCCCTCAAAGTCCATATCCTTGATGCTCATCTTGATAAATTCAAGGAGAACATGGGAGCGTACTTGGAGGAGCAAGGTGAGCGCTTCCACCAGGATATACTGGACTTTGAACGGCACTACCAAGGACAGTATAACGAGAACATGATGGGATACTACATTTGGGGGCTGATTCGTGAAAGTGATTTACAGTATAATCGTACATCTTGAAAAACCACACATTTCTAAATCTTTTGTAGTCATTTTTGTATAATTTTAGTATAAATACATGTAATTTTGATTCATGTTGGTTTTTTCTTCAGGTGAAGACGGTCGCTTGCATTGCGATCGAAACGTCGTGATCTATTATTTTGTCTACCTACGTGACTTTACTGAAAGAACCAAAGAGTATGGATTCCTGCAGTCACGAAAGCTTCAAATTACGAAATAACACTTACCCAGGAACAAAAATTGCGTTACATAGTATAATTATCAAATGCGTTCAGTTCCAAGATAGTTGTAGAATTGTTTGCATGATTGTATAATTGCCAACATACTGGGAGGCTGTTAAACATCACAAAAAAGGTGTAACGTGACCTCACCGTTGGTCAATGGTGGATTACTTGAGATGCTCACGCTTGCAAGTGCTTCTGTAATTATTCACAATGCGGTGTTTGGTGGAATTAAAATGTCACTCTGCTGCGGACGTATACTGTTCTACCTTTAAATTGACAAGCCTTATCCAGACACACGGGTCTCTCTTGCTGCTACACATATGGCTTATATGATACCCATGGAAAAAAGGCCAGCCAGTTCCTCCTCTGTTATTGGTATTCTAATTTTATCAGCAGTAAACAAGGTGCTTCTTAATGGAACGGTGGACAATGTAATGATACTCTGAGTGGATAAGAGGGTGAAATTGTGAAACTAAGTATATATAAAATCTAGCTAAGTCGTGCTGTTTTAGAACACTTGACTCACAATTGCAAGTTTTTAAGTTGAATTCATAGTCAACTTGTTTCTATACTGTCTGCGGTTACGCAATGCACATCTTAAGCATGTGACTATGACTAAACACGTGTATGATATGGTTGTACTGGGAGTTAGGCATGGGTATAATACGAATGTACCAGAAATTCATCAGGCTCTGTGATATGAACCCCAGAAATATTTTCTAGTTACTGTACATCTCCTGCAGAAGAAGCAGAGGGACAATATCCCCCTTGCTCGGCAAACATATTTTCTCAAAAGTACATTCAGCGTCACGAAACAATAACATTGGTATTTACATAGCACGTAACTAAAAACTGCATAAAATAGCACACGGAAACATGTAAAGATCACACACCATCTGTGCATATGCACGAACCATCAGCATTTCCTGAAGAAGTGCATTGTGGTCCTCTCGTCTTCAGCCACTATCTCAATACATTTGAGGCAATGTGACCAACTGACAGTAGCGGTGACGCAGTGATAGACAACTCTGGACCAGTTTAATCATATTTAGGACTCATTGGAACAGTGCAGTCACCAATGCACGCTGCTGAAAATTCTGCCCCGGGAAAACATACGTGGAGTCCCCTTCTTGTTTTCCAGTCTGCACAATTCTGGTTTTGAGAGCAGATGGCATGAAATGTCTGCGTATTTGTCCTCGAGAAATAAAATGTGTATAATTACGTTTGTAAAGCACCAATGGGTAAATATATATGCACGCAACAGGGGAATACAAAAAGGGTAAGTTGCATTCACTTTACTTTCATATTTATTGAACTAAAGGTGCAAGGTTTCTTCAAACGTGTTTATTTATTTATTAAACCTGACTTAAACGACAACTTTCTCGCATGTGGTTTAAGATTTTTGTCGATATTGGTGAATATCCTTGACAAGAGCTACTCATTAGATAAAAAAATCCTTTCTATAAACTGCTTTTTGTGTACATTTTTTGGTCCTTCCCCCACGCCTCGGATTAACACGGTTGGCTACGTACGGTGCGAAAGAAGTTCAACATACAAACACATACATCACAGTCTCCCTAACGTTAATCTTTACTTACACCAGAGAGTGAACACAATCCAACGATTGTCAATGTCAGCTGGTAATTCAGCAGCACTTGTTTAACTAGCTTGGCTCTGCTGATGAGACCCAGAAAATCAAAACAAATGTTGCTTGATAATATTGATCTGGAGAGCCGTTAGGCTAAACGATAAAACGATAAACTCTTTTTTTATTTTAATAGTTAAGGCTCACTGAGCTAAATAGCTATTTTTCAGAAGCGGTCTGGCAACAAGAAGAAGTGGCTTATCATGTAGAAATGTATAGCAGTCAAATACTCTAAACGCGCGTTTCTAAATGTGGAGGGGAAAACTGAAGGACTTGGAGAAAAAGATCCACGCGACAATGGAGAGAGAGAACATGCAAACTCCAAATATACAAGCGTGAGGGTTGGGATCGAACTGACCTCCTGTATACCAAGCGAGGCAGTTGACATCTTGCGACCGTCGCGGCAAACAAACGGAGTTCTGCCCACAGTTAATTTCACCGATAGCGGTGCACGTGGTCACCGCACAGATGATGTGCGAGCCGTCCGGTGCGTACGTACCTCCTGTGGGAGTTCCTGTTGCTGTTCACGTGGCCTCTCCCGTTGCAGCCAGGCGTGGGACACTTCAACACGTTTTCATGCAGAGCGAGGACTGGTTTCACGTCGGGTTTTGTCAAAGGGTGAGCAATCCAAACAAAAAGCATAGAATTAAAAGAGCATGTTAAAACGGTTACACTGACCATTCGACCCGCAAAACACACATTCACACATTCAATGCGGTAGGCTGATGGACTCACACGCTAATTGAGTAAATCAACAGAAGCCCCGTAAAGACAGTTTGCACGACGCAAACTTTGTGCGTGTAAAGCAAATTGCAACTTTGTCAGAACAAGGCAACCGCGCTTTTCGTAATTTGACGTTGACAGAAGGTTTGCAACAGCCCCATTCATCAATTTCTATTCAAACACCGCTATGGTCAAAGTTCAATTAAGGCTCAGTTGGGAGACCAAGTAATTTCAGAAACGAAGGGCGAAGAATGAAAAAGATGCCAGACCAAAATCTATCATTGGCAAAGGGTACCATGGGTACGATGCAGTGAAAAAGGGGAGGGGGGAGGTGCCCAGTCCTCATTGCAGGGGATTTGTTAAACGAACGATTCCTGTAAAAAAAAACAATAAAACTCCCGAACAATTACAAATATGATTGTGAAGCACGTTCACACAGACGATGATGGTATTTAAAGAGTTGCCATGGTGTAAGAGTTCAAAACAGTAATGGATGATATTGGTGGCGAAAGCGACCAATATCATCCATAATAGAGGTTTTTTGGGTTAGATCTTCTTTACGCGATCTAACCCAAAAAAAAAACCTCTATTATAGGCCAGAGTTCTTCACTCGTTTTCAGAGGGGGGGCACTTTCGCCGATAAGACATCGTCAGTGTGAGGGCCGCTACACATTTGAAACCACCGGGGGCTTGACAGTAGCACGATGATGGAAGGTGTTTTCAACATTTGTGTATTGTCGGGGGACTGCACGTCAGGGTCCTCCCTGAAGGCCCACCAGAGGCCGCCAGTGACCCGCGGGGCCTTGCAATGAAGATCACTGCTGCTGTGTAGGTATTCCGCAGTGAGTGTGTGTCAGTGGGTGTGTGTGAGGAGCGGTGGTGTAGCGGTTAGTGCTACGCTGCACTACGAACCCGGCGAACAGAGTTCGATTTCTGCTCACGGCCAACACCAGTGACCAGTATCTGAATCTGTCCTGGGCCTCCCCTAGGTCGACTCAGCCTCAAATGAGTACCTGGTGCGGCGTGTAAAACATGACCATTGGGGAGACAAAGGCGGCCGTGCGTGGTGTTGGCCACCCACTCCCTCGTGTGCCGTGCCGGCCTTCACAGCTGCCACTCGCTAACAGCCACTTGCCCCAAACAGTCCTTTAGGGCTACACGGGGAATCCTTTGCCTTTGCGAGAGCGTCTCTGGCGGTATTGAGGAGCGAGAAGAGAGGGCTTACTCTCGGGCGGGACGCGATCCTTGTGCGGGCAGCCCGAGAGGCTCCGGTGGTGCGGGTAGAGGCCCGTTGCGTGACCCGTCCCGTCACAGCCAGGAGTGGGGCACTTACTCTCCCTGCGATCCCCACGCAGATCTGAGACACACGGACAGACACACACAGACAGACACACAAGACAAATACACACAGACACACGCACAGACACACACACGCACAGACAGACACACAAGACAAATACACACACGCACACACAGACACACAAGACAAACACACACGGCATTGTGTTTTAGAACATGTGGAAAATGTCACTAACTCGAGCAAAAGTCAGTTTATTTTTTTGCCCCCCCCCCCCCCCCCCCAGCGTTAAATAAGAGTTCTAAAAATCACTTTTTACATTTTGTAAACGTCCTCATTTTGATTTCTAACTGACCTTGTTCAAATTAAATTCCTGGAGAAATAAATCGTTACACTTTGTGGATTTTAAAAATCTGTATTAAAAGAGCACGTAAATTAGGGATCTCTACGACACCCTATAGCTGCAACAAAGTTAAGTAAGAGACGCCAGCGTGGTTAAATGAGGTTTGTAGGTATGGTGCACTATCAAAAAATAGACAACACAGCCTCTCGTCCCGCTGTGCTTTGCGTCATGGGTTGTCTACGGAGTTTTGCGGCCTCACGAACAAGAAACGCATTTCACGTTATGCCTCGGGGATGGTCCCTGCACTGGTGGGACGCAAACAGAGCGCGGCTGACGTTGCATCGATGTCACCAGAGCGCTATCTTTGACGCCGTCATATCTACTAAAGTCTACAGCAACGGGTTAGCAGCGCCGATGGAAACTTGCAATCCAGAGGGTCGCCGGTTCAACTCCGTCTCACGGTGCGGCAGTTGAAATAATGGTGAGGGGGCAGTTGAAAATGTAATTTAAATCACCCCACCGACCCAGCAGGGCAAACGTGTTCGCCATAGATAAGTCAACCAGCAAGGGTCGCGTGTGTTGGGGTGAAATGTGGGTGCTCCCATCTCAATCCGTCTGGCTTAGTATAGAAGAGTCAGGCCAAATGTACTCTCTATAGAGGGGCACTTCCACGGCTCTGCCTCCAGTGTCAGCCCTTCTGCCAGCAGTAGCACGAGCAAGCCATTTCAGGGCTGCGCATTTGCCTCATTACAGAAGCTTTAAACTCACAGCCTGGGACGCGGTAACTACAGATAAGAGCCATTTGGTGTGTGGTCTGCCTCTTCCTTTAATAACAACACATCATATGCAGACCAAGAGACCTGTGATAAACTCTATAATACTAGAAATATAATGTCCAGTGATTTACAACACAGAGTTGAATGGTACACGTTGATTTCCCAAAATAATTACTGCACTGTATACGGTAATAACAATGGTTACAAATGTACAGCTCTTTGATCAATCCACTGTTGGATGTCCTTTGTCCATACTTCACCACGCTGGTCAATGTGCGAGTCGGTTCAGTGTGGGAGTGCGTTGGTCTACGCTGGCTGACAGTCAAAACTCAGGTCTCCGGGTTCCGTAGCCCAGTGCCCTCCAAACATTGTGCCGCCTCGAAAATGTCCCCCACTCCACGAAAGTAAAAGGGTGAACATTTCGCCTGAACGATTTAACAGCATAATGTTAATAACACCAGCCGAAAAAACTTGTCTTTAGCATCGATATTTTTTCGATTTGAACTGTTACTGTCATATATGAAACTTAATTTACAAACATTTTGATAACACACACCGTAAGCATAATAAAGGACAAACATGTTATGCATTTAAACCATATTCTTTGGGTCTTTCGGTAAAGTCACGTAGATAGGTTCAAAGAAAATAACAAAAAACTACGACGTTTCGATCGCAACACAAACGGTCGTCTTCAGGGAAAAAAAACATGTATAAAATGAAATTACATAGTGTCACGAGAACAAAAAGTGGCCATTATTCCAAATAACATTATTTGCAGCATTTTCAAAATATTTGTCAAATACAAGGCCTCCATCTTCATTCTTCTACCAGGGTCATTTCCACTCATCATCAGCCATCATCTAGCCACTGCTCGTTGACCAAAGTTCAGATTTAAATTGGCACAGATGTGTCATGGCTCAACTCCAGGAAAAAACTTATCAGGAATGTCTGCTTAACTGGTAGTCTGTTTAATTAAATTGCCAATATCACTGGAGAATAATCCAGTCATGAAGGCTTTGTTAGAATAGGCGCGAACGTTTTTTCCCAAACATATTTTCAGTTGGTTTGAGAGTTTGTCAAAAACTTTTATTTTAACGCCCGTCACTTTAACGTGTGGATTCCGCCATGTGCTCGTGCACAAAAACAGCAGAACGCGTGCCCACGGGCGCAAGTTCCACATAATTGCGCAAACTTTAAAGCGTGTAGCCAAAATGTGTTGCCGTAGTTTAGAAACACCTTAAGGATAAATAAAGTAAAGCCTTCTTTCTGTACATTGCAGAAATCACAACATGACTTCGTTTGAAGAAAACAATTAAAGGCCATCAGCCTAATTAACTTCTTGCTAGGACGTTGCGATGACAAAATACAAACAAAAACGTCCACCAAGTGGCATTTGTGTTATGTTGTAATTTGCAAAATAGACATACTGCACCTCATTATTACAAATCACACTGTTCTGTTGCAGATAGATATACACATACACACTGAAAGCATAATATAACATGCGGGACTAGGAGCGTTATTCTCATACATTTTACACATTTAACCCATTCGCTTTGGATGCTGATATTCATCACGACACGTTTGGTTTTTGGGTGAAACGTGCCATGAGTAATATGATGTCACCATGCAACCTGACGCATTTCTCTTTGTACGTGTAAAGTTTCCATCACCTTCAAATAAAATCGACGAATATTCAGGCCTTGGAAATTTTGTGCTTTAGGTTTTCGCACTTGAGCATCTTATTTTCACCCATCTATTTTCACCTGGCGATCACCCACAAACAATGCATCCCTCGCGTGACGTGCCACCCACGTCACTCTAGGGAGCACTGGGATGCAGCACATCGTAGTCCGTGCATCGCCTTGTTATTGTACGACGGACGCATTTTACGTCTAGAGATGATCACATCGGTAAGCTCGTCGTCTACCACTGCACCACGTCAAAAGTAATTCCACTGGGAAGTGAGGCTTCACACGACCTCCCGTGTCAATATATTCGCAACAAAAGTGGCAAAGTTGGCGGTCAAGGGGCCTGGTTACACGTTGTAAAATGTTTCTTTTCAACAGATTTTTGGCAACAGCAACAACAAAAATCGCGGTCACCAACAATGGGGCGAACCACTGTCAATCAATGTGATGCATTTTTACATTTCACTAACGTGGGAATCTGGCTCACAAACGAGCCGGCGCCATGTAGCCTCCAGACCCGTAATCTTTATTCTGCTTTTTCCTAGAATTGAGACCATATTATAATACTGGAAGTGATACACTTGAGGTCATGCGTGGTATTGTCATATTGCAGAACGTGACAAATTCACAACATGATACATGTAATTGCGATAACTGCGATATGGTCACAGTATCACAATAACATGGGTCATAATAGGATGCTATGCAACTCCAAACATGAAAATGGTACGAGCAAATGTTTTAATGGGATCATATTCTTCATTTGCCCCAATTTAACTGTGGAAATGATCGGAGAAGTGTACTTGAAAGAGCCCTCTGTAACTGTCTTGCGATGATGCACAAATAGTGGGATAGTACTTGCGTAATATTTGTTTCACATGAAGCCCCGATTAAACATTAAAATGTTTCTTGCTTGTCTATTGCTCCAATGTTGTTCCCGGCGTGCTATCAGCATCATTGTCACGAGACAATGGAGAATACATTCAGAACTCTCGCAGAGAGGCACATCCCCCCCAGATGTCCATGACATCCACGACTCCATCACAGCTTCTATTTGTCAGAAGTAAACGCTGCCGTGGGGGAAAATCTGCTTCGTAACTTTGGACCGCATCAAAGAAGTGGAGAGCTGGTTGTTTGAACAAACTTAGCAAAGCTAATTAGTCAATTTTTACACTGAAATGAAATACTCCAGTCATGGAAGGATGCCTCAATCATTCTGCTATTCAGCATGGGAGCCAAAACGATTTGAATAATGACAGATTCACTATTCTCCTACCACACATATATAAAATGTTCATGAACATAGCAAACTGAATGGACAAATTAGAGGCAAACCAACCATATATTCCATTAATACGATCGTAAAAAAAGAACATCAAAACAACATTATGACTGAGTTTTGCAGACTATAAAGAGGGTATTTGTCTCGGTGAAAATGTATGCAGTCATTCAAGCTGTCAATAAAAATATCTATAAATTATCAGTTCATTGTGGAATTGCATGAAAAATAACAAAATAAAAGTCAGCAGAAGAGTCAGAGAGATGTACTCTCAACACGACTATTCACATTGACGGATTTTATATATATATATTCCTGGATTGGAGAAATAAGAGGCATAAATATAAAAGTATTAATCATCCTTCGCGTGCTGAAAACATAGTAATTTTGAAAACCAATGGAAATTAACTACAGGAAGTTATTTAAGAATGTATAAAAGGCTCCAAATAAATTAGCGATACAAATGTCAAGTACAAAAGGTTTAATTTTCGATTTTAATATTATTGGTTCTTTCGGTAAAGTCACGCAGAAGGGAAATAATAAAATAATAATAAATACAACATAAAATAAAATTCTCACGACGTTTCGGCCACAACGCAAGCAGCCGTCCTCAGGTGAAGAAACAGAGCTGTCGGAAAGGTTTGCTAAACAATCAAAGGTATGTATACAACCCAGAACTATTGGATTGGGACAAACGCCAGATGACAGGACACTGTAAGAGCAGAGCTTGAAGGTCAGGCATCTACATTCAACCAATTACGGGACCCAGCAGACATGGTGACATTAGACCACTCCGATGTTATATGATCATCTCATCTCATTGTGACTTGGCTTCCCTGTAGAATAAAATGTAAAATGGGGAGTCCCCCCCCCCCTCTGCCTTCTAGACAGACATCATAAAATAAAGTTATTCATAAACTATATTTTGACGATACTGCATTAGCAGTGGTGCACAAGCACAAATGACAGCA